AGTAAAAATTGTGCCTGAAAAAATGTTGAAAGGGCCATTTCTTTAGCTTATCTAAATGTGACATGTAAGAAACTTGAATAGGTGTAGACACGGCCTTACAATAAACAATTGTTTATCATGTTTGAAACGGTGTCTGATGGCGACCCGGTTTCGATGTTTTTATTCGAGTATTTATTCTCAATCTTTCCCCTGAAATATTAATGTCTTCCAAACAAATAAGATGGGGTGTTTGAAACCGTTTAGCTGACAAAAATAAAAACAATATGCTTAATTAGCCAGTCCAAAATAATAATGTATTATTTTCTGTTTTTGATAAAAAAAATCTAAAACTGTTCGCACGTCCCATATCATTTTATACCTCGGCTTTGTGTTAAATACACCTTTCATAAACCGCGATATAAGGGTGTTATCGCCGAGATCTACGTTCGAAGTAATCTAAACATCTCGCTATAATATCAGTTATCCTGAGAAGTATCACTGTTGCTACAAGGGGTTTAAAGGGATCGTGTTTCCCTTCACAGACATGAAACCACAATATTGGGCACATACCACTTCATGACTTACCACAGGCTTCATCATGGCTGCAGTTTGTATTAACATGTTTAAATGCTGCATTCAACCCTAAGCCTACCACAGCGAATGCCTCCTTGGTCGAGGGGTTAGTGTCGATGACTTCTAATCCAGTTACCTCTCTGGCGTGGGTTCGATCCCCGGGAGATGCTTTGGTGTTTAGCGCGGAGGAAGGTAGTCTAGTACTGGTGTAACTCTCCAGGAACTATGGTTAGGAAACTACCCGCCTATATGACTGAAATACTGTTGAAAAAGGCGTAAAATGAAACAAACAAACAAACAAATCTGCCCATGCAATCAGTGCAGACCAAGATCAGTTTGCACATCCATGCCGTCAATGCTGTTCTGACAGTACTTATTTTGAAATTTTCCCTTAAAATGATAAATGGATTTGTCTAGAATGAAAGCTGGACTGGTCCATTTTAGATAATTAGGATTGTAAGGGTTAAGATAAAAAGGAAAAAGATCTGACACTGATCATTATTCAGTATGAATTGGTTTGTATCATTAGAAGGGGAGCATTAAAAAAATTTGCTTGATTGATTGTTCAGGACTTTTCCCCATTCTATACAAGGGGCCATTTAAGGGTGGCTCCTCAAAACATAAATATATCTCTGACATTGTGCAGTTTTCCACAATAATTGAATTAACATCAAGGTTTTTCTTCCCATTTTGCAAATATTCTTTTTATTTTTTTCCGCCAAAATTAAGTGCAGGGTTGCATCACCAATCTTTGAAAAAAGCCCTGCTGTTTATTTAATATCACAAAAATAATGTTTTGTTTACTATTATTACCCCACTTAGAGATGAAAGCAGAAATTCTTTCGTATTTGTCAACTTGTACAATGTTTATGAAATATTTCATTATTAGAACCAAATTGAATTTATTTGTCAAATTATGATATTCTTTGTGAGTGAACAAAACAGCCTTTTGTTGATCTTTCTTTTTTTAGGTTGACATACGAAACCGAAATTTAGTTATACTATAGATAACAATGTCAGATTGTTTCGTATGATATAATAAACAGGTTATGTAATACTGTGTGCAATTGGCTGAAAATTTGGGAAGCAGTTCAGTATATCTGAAACTTTAATACAACAGACAATGCATTAAAGGAATCTGAAAGGGCATGTTTCTCCATAGGTTACTCATAGGTGTTTCATGACACTTGATCGGCTTACAGTTGGAAAAATAAAACAACAAAACAAATCCATTAAATAGTTTACCTACTGCATGAAAGTTACATGTATCTATAAAGATGACACACTTACAATTTACCCTTATTGTTTCTCTGTATATAGGCTTATGAAAGGTCTGTGGTTCTGCTCATATGTCTGATTGTGCCTGTAAAAAATGCAGGGAGGAATATGCTGAAGGTCTCTCTTTGCCAGGAGTGCTCGGAGAGGCTGTACGAAAGTGACATTATGTTCATAGTCAAGTTGAATGAGTAAAATATATTTCAAGAGATTGATTATTGTAATGGTTTACCAATAATTGATAATGAAAATGTTTAGGATAAGATTTTTAAACTACTTAAATCATTAAAAGACTGCCACTCTTTTAAAAATTGAACGTTTCAGATATATTTGGAATGATATTTATAGAAATGTCCATGGGTCACATGAAGTTTTGCTGGATTATAGCAGTAAAGCATCAGTTTTATTTTAGACTGCCCAAAGCAAATATCATTAATAGAATATTTGAAGTACAGTGTTTACTCTTTAAAGATGGACTTGTCCTTTGGAACTGTCCATTATCATTTTTTGGGGATAAGAAGATAAAAGTTTGATTTTTGGATGCCAGCAATAAGCTGCAAATATTTGTATGCTCTGGCAGGAGGTGAACTGATTCAGTACATGCATATTGATCTTGAAATCTTTAAATGACCAATAAAAAATGAGCTGCATCATGACAAAACCAACGTAATGGGTTTGCAACCAGCATGGATCCAGATTAGCCTGCCCATCCCAGGATCCATGCTGTTCGCTTACCAACTCTATTACAAGTAGAGAAACTTATAACAAACAGCATGGATCCTGATCAGACTGCGGATACACAGGCTGGTCTGGATCCATGCTGGTCGCAAACGCATTACGTTGGTTTTGTAATGACACGGCTCAAATTAAGAAATCAAAGCCTATTGCATACAATAAAAAAAGTTAAACATTTGAAATTTAATACATAAAGTTGACAGATTGTTTTTCGCATGCACATTTAACAATATTGAAAATAGTTTTATTCATTAGTTTTGAAAGGCCATAATTGTTGATGTCCTTTATTTATTTTGAAATGACAGCAAACGGTTCAGTTCAAATCTTTAGTGAGGAATAAACAAACTTAAGTCACTTTCGGAAGCTATGAAAAAACAGAAAACAAAACAGCATATATAAAAGAATGAAGTAAACAGTTACAAATAGTTAAATGTCACATAATATATTAATGAGTAATAAGCAAATATCTATGCTTCAAGAAGCATTAAGATCCGGTTTCATTTTCGAGCAATCCCATAAAAAAACAAACTAGATTTATTATTTAAAGTGCATTGATAATATATATTTCTTCTATGTTATTTTGGTAGTTCAGTCTTATAAGCAGATGCTCGTCCTTGTGAGAAATGGGATTGTTAAACTGAAACTAACATCTTGAAATCTTGACGCTTGCTTATATCACATATTGCAAAAAAAATTGTTATTGTAGTAAAATGGGCTTGCTATATCTGTATGACTAATCAGTTAAATCAAACCAGGTTATATAAATATTACTTCTGGTAGTAACAGTTCCATCAAACTAGGTGATATTAAAGGGACTCCACTGAGGTTTTTTTGACATGGCCGAACTGGAAATATTTTTCTGAGATTTGTATACCAATTGATAAAGGTCTCAAACCTAAAACTTGTGTGCAAATTTTAAGGTCATTCCCTCACCCCATTATTTCCAGAATAATAATTTTTATTGTTCAATATGACTTTCAAACACAAAGTGTTGCAATGCTTTTCTCTCAAAATCCAGCTAAGAATGACACTAGAATCAATTTTGAATATAATTCTGAGTATATTTCTTTGTTATTCTTTGCAGAGTTTTCCATTTCAAGGGATTCTCTTGATATTAGTAAAATTTTCAAATTTTATGTTTTGAGGCATTTCAGTACCTCGTGGGGTTCTTTAACGTTTTAATGACACATATATATTAGTGCTATATGACAAACAACGAAAAATGTTTAAAAGCTTTCCCAATTTCAACCTCGACCCTCCCACTCTAATTAAAAGTAGTAACCAATTTATTGCATAATGGGCTGCTGGTATGCATTAAAAGTTACTTTGTATTGATGGGAACTAGATATCAGTTTGTAAATGTTGAACTAAATTTTAAACAATTAAGTACAGTTGTTTTTCTCTGCAAAGTTTTAAATGTTTTTTTTTGTTAGGCCTTTTTTTATTTACTGAAAATTTAGTTCAAATCATGGAAAAAATTATATTTTAAGATTAAAATTTAATTCATAGTTTTTCACTTATAAATTATAAAAGATAATTAACCCACATATTTTAAAAGCATAAAGACTTTCCCATTTTCAATATAGAAAAACCAAATTTATTTAATTTTTAATTTTCTTTTTTATTTTGATAGTTAATTTTAAAAAAACAGACGCCTGTGAAAAAGATCGATAACAAATTAAGACTTTGTAATTGAAATCTGACGCTTCCATTCAAATATGAAAAAAAAGATTTAAAACTTTTCTAAATAATCAGTTAAATCATAAAGGTTTAGTCTTCTTGGTAGGTCATGTTCCACAGGACTGTATCAAATCTTAAAGGAACTCCACTGAGGTTTTTTGACATCAGAGGTCTAGAAATAATTTTTCAAGACTAATGTTCCATTTGATTTAGGTCTAGACCAATAGCTTGTATGCAAAATTTCAGACCATTTGCTCACTCAGTGTTGCCAGAATGATGATTCTAATTGTGAAAAAAGACCAAAAATTGAAGAGCATTGCAACGCTTTTCCCTTAAAACGAGCTAAGAATAGCACACAATACAATTTTCTATCAATTTGTGAACATCATTCTTATTTATCTTTAATTTGTTTAATTTTCTGCTTTCAGAGCCCCAGTTTTTCTTTGTGAGGAATTAAAATTTGATGTTGACCTCAGTGGAGTTCCTTTAATTTACCCTCTGCTTAAATGATGCTTTTTATTTGCCCTGTTTGAAATATGTTCATTAAGGGATTTCTATGTCATGGTATATATCAACTAAGGGCATGGACAGGTCAGACAGTTAAACTGTATTAGGCCTTGGTAACTTTAATCTGAAAGTCAGTTAAATTGGGGAGACAATTCGGTTAAGTATGGTACGTATTCGGATTTAAGATAATTTTTGTGTATATCTATTTTTAGAAAAAAGATAAGATAATTCTTGTCCATATCTATTTTTAGAAAAAGATGAGAAGAAGAAGAAGAAAGATGAACCAGGATCTATATTTCAGAGACAGAGGGTAGATTTACTGTTAGGAGAACTTGCCAAAAAATTTCCACCAAAGTTTGTCGCACCAACTCAACCAGAGGCTAAAGGTAAATGTTCTCTGTATACATGTTTAGACAAACTCAAGAATGACAAGCTACGTTAGAAAATAAACTTCATATTGTATTACATATCGAACACCCTCAGTAAAACATTGTATAATCGAGGGTGGGTCAATATGTTATGCAATATGAAGTTTATTTTCTAATTTTAGCTCCTGATTAACTATGCTATAAACTATGCCAAGTCATCAAAGCATCTACTACTACAATGTTCAGTTAAAAAGTGAAATTTTATGGGGCCAACAGCATAAATTTTCAAAAAAATGGCACAAGTCAAGATGCATGTAAGTCTGGTAGAAAAGATTCCATACTTGCTGACAAAATCGTTCATAAAGTCTTATCATTGACAAAGACGCCTGACATTCACTTACCCAGAAAACCCATATGGGATATCACAGGGATATGATTCTGAAGAATCACTTGAAAGTTAGGAGCATAACTGCATGATGGATACCCCATTTGCTAGCACCTGACCAGTAGAAGATAGTTGCTTGAAAATGTTTCCTAAATGACAGTCGTTTTTCTAACATTATGACTGATGATGAAAGCTGGTTTCACTATTTATGCCAGTTCGCAAGTGTAACACATAAAAAAATGTTCATTGACAGTGCATTGCAAAGCCATTGACAAGTGTCAAGAAAGTGACATGGTGAGCTTTTGTGATCGCTTTTCATCCGACATCCGTACATCGTCCATCCCTAAACATTTATTTTAAACAACATCTCCGCATAAACAGCTAAGCCAATTTCATCCAAACTTTACATGAATGTTCCTTTGGAAGTCAACTTTAAATTGTTCAAGAATTTAATTCCATGCAGAACTCTAATTGCCATGTCAACCAAATGAAAAATCTTTTAAAACCAAAAGAGCTAAGGCTTAAATATTTGGCATGAAACATCATGTAGTCAGTGTTTACCAAGTTTGTTCAAATAAAATCCTTGGGGTCAAAATTGGCCCGCCCTAAGGGAGGGGGGGGGGGGTCATTGTTATTCCTGATATGTATATAGTAAAAACTTAAAAAAATCTTCTTTTAAAAAAAACCAAAGATCTAGAGTTTAGATGTTAAGCATGCAACATCTTCTAATAGGTGTCCACCAAGTTTGTTCACATGAAATCTCTAGGGTCAAAATTTGCCCCGCCCTGGGGGTCATTGATATTTCCTTATATGTTTTTTGTAAAAACTTAAAGATCTTCTTTTGAAAAACACAAATACCTACAACTTAGATATTAAGCATGAAACATCTTCTAGTTATTGTCTTATCAAGTTTGCTAAAATAAAAGCCATGGGGTCAAACTTGGCCAGCCCTAAGGGGTCATTGATTTTCATTATATGTATATAGTAAAAACAAAAAATTCATCTTTTAAAAAACCCAAAGAGCTAGAGCTTATATATGTAGCATGTACACTTTGTATTTTTGTAGGAGACAATTGTTTTGAAGTGTTGAAATAGAAAATTGTAAAATATTTTCTCTTTTGTAAGTTTATTGACAATATTGCATTACATATTGACCCACCCTTGCACAATGAGGCCTTATAGGCTTAGTGGTAATGTGATATATCTCCAAATTAATTACTAACCACTTGGTTTTGTTGGATAGAATCCTGTAATGTAAAATGATTCCAACTTTTACACTTACTGAAGGAGTATAATTTTAGCAACTTACTGGTTTGAAGAGGGAAGTAGCTTGGGTGATAGAAACACAAATCAGTATATTGTATTTTCAAAAGTCAAGACTTTGACCTTCAAATGATAAATTAACCAAAGCAAATATGATGAATTCATATGCCAAAAAAAGATAAACAGGATTTCCTTCAACTGGATGTTACTTCCTAATTTATTGCACTTCCTACTACTAGTATTATATAACCCTGTGATATTTTAGCTTTTGTCTGTATGTATTGCATGATTTAAAGTTATAAAGTTGCAGTTAAACAATTATTAACATTTTTTGTTAAATACTGTATTGTCATTGATGCAAGTCTTCCTGATTAACTATATTGTTTCATATTTTGTTGGTTGTTTTTCAGCTGAAGATGTCGTGAAAGTGGAACCAAAACAGGATGTGAAACATGAAAAACCAAGTACGGACAAACAGACAGACAGTACAGTGAAACCCCCACCAGATAAGAGACAAAAGCTTGCTAGATGATGCCTTACATTGATAACATATTGTTATTCATTAATTATATGTTTGGTGCAATATACTACTGATAAAATCCACGAGACACTATCAAAGGGAGACAACTGCTGACATATTGACATCAAAGGGAGAAAACTGCACAATTGAAACTTTCATCAAAGGGAGAAAACTGTTACTGGTTTAGTCTGTGTCCAGCAGATGGAATACTTTCTAAGTAAAAGTTATGTGATTCATCATTGAGATAGTATTGCAAGACTGCTCATTTTAAACTCGACTTTTTTTTTTTGAAGAATGGTATTGTTTCTCAAAGTTTTAGATACATGTATCAGGCATGTTACATGTATGAACTTTTCCCTAGTTGCAAACCAAAATCCAGTCTGTGTTATGTTTCTCTGCTTGGACCAAAAAATCATTTTTCTCTACCACAAAAGTTCTAGGTTTGCATAACCAAATATTGGACATTTGCGGGATTTTGCATTTGATTAGCAAAGTATTTCATATACTTGTAGGGCACTTCTATTTCACCTAAAACAAAATGGTATTATGCAATTGAGTTGTTTAAAGATATACTCTCAGACATTTCAGAAAAACTTGCTTTAAGCAGACTTTACACCAAATGTTTTGTTTTGTAATTATACCCCCGCACAACAAACTTGTAAGGGGGGTATACTGGAATCAGCTTGTCCGTCCGTCCGTCCGTCGGTTTTTTCTTGTCCGCCCAATAACTTAAGATTCCTTTGACCCTTAGTATATTTGGCATGGAGGTTAGTCATGATTAGTAGATGACCCCTATTGATTTTGAGGTCACTAGGTCAAAGGTCAAGGTCACAGTGGCCTTGACTTTAAAAAGCTTGTCCGCCCAATAACTTAAGATTCCTTTGACCTACAGTCGTCATATTTGGCGTGGAGGTTAGTCTTGATTAGTAGATGACCCCTATTAATTTTGAGGTCACCAGGTCAAAGGTCAAGGTCACAGGGGCCTTGACTTCAAAAAGCTTGTCCGCCCAATAACTTAAGATTCCTTTGACCCACAGTCTTCATATTTAACATGGAGATAAGTCATGATTAGTAGATGACCCCTATTCATTTTGAGGTCACCAGGTCAAAGGTCAAGGTCACAGGGGCCTTGACTTCAAAAAGCTTGTCCGCCCAATAACTTAAGATTCCTTTGACCCATAGTCTTCATATTTTGCATTGAGGTTAGTCATGATTAGTAGATGACCCCTTTTGATTTTGAGGTCAAGGTCACAGGGGCCTTGACTTCAAAAAGCTTGTCCGCCCAATAACTTAAGATTCCTTTGACTCACAGTCTTCATATTTGGCATTGAGGTTAGTCATGATTAGTAGATGACCCCAAGTGACTTTGAGGTCACCAGGTCAAAGGTCAAGGTCACAGGGGCCTTGACTTCAAAAAACTTGTCTGCCCAATAACTTAAGATTCCTTTGACCGACAGTCTTCATATTTGGCATGGAGGCTAGTCATGATAAGTAGATGACCCCTATTGATTTTGAGGTCACCAGGTCAAAGGTCAAGGTCACAGGGGCCTTGACTTCAAAAAGCTTGTCCGCCCAATAACTTAAGATTCCTTTGACCCATAGTCTTCATATTTGGTATTGAGGTTAGTCATGATTAGTAGATGACCCCTATTGACTTTGAGCTCACCAGGTCAAAGGTCAAGATCACAGGGGCCTTTACTTCAAAAAGCTTGTCCGCCCTATAACTTTAGATTCCTTTGACCGACAGTCTTCATATTTGGCATGGAAGCTAGTCATGATAAGTAGATGACCCCTATTGACTTTGAGGTCACCAGGTCAAAGGTCAAGGTCACAGGGGCTTTGACTTCAAAAAGCTTGTCCGCCCAATAACTTAAGATTCCTTTGACCCACAGTTTTCATATTTGGAATGGAGGTTAGTCATGATTAGTAGATGACCCCTATTGATTTTGAGGTCACCAGGTCAAAGGTCAAGGTCACAGGGACTTTGACTTCAAAAAGTTTGTCCACCCATTAACTTAAGATTCCTTTGACCCACAGTCTTCATATTTGGCATGGATGTTGATCATGACTATAAGGTGACCCCTATTGATTTTGAGGTCACTGGGTCAAAGGTCAAGGTCACAGGGACCTTGACAAAAAAAAGCTTTTCTTCTCAATTGCTAAAGAATGTCCTGTCCGCAATGTATTGATTTTGACATTTTCACATTTGAAGCATGTAGAATACATAACTTAGCAATGCACTGGCTTAGTAACCTCAGATTTGGCAGGGAGGTTGTCCTTGAGCTCTAAATGGCCACTGTTGATTCTGACAAAGTGGTATGCGGGGGTATTCAGGCCATGATAGTGGCAGTTCTAGTTTGATATTGTTTTAAGTGCAGCAGAAATGCTATTGTCTTGAATAAAAGTTAAGTGTAAAGATTTAAATCAATGTTTCTTCTATTTATAAATCAATACAGTTTGTATACAACAAAGTACAGGAACGAACCTTTCCGGTGTTTACTGTTTTATGTAAATTGGCTAACTGGTTATCCAACTGCTACACTGGGATATTACATTGTCACTGGTTGACCTGGTTTGCACAAAAGAACATGTGGTTATGTTTGTGATACTGTTTGTGAGCAATTGACCTAGCAATGAATGGGAAAAGTGTGGCTAAATGTTCCGCTACGAAAAACCGGAAAGGTCCACTGTTTGTACAATACAATACACTATATTATACAGCTTTTTCATATGTTATTTGGGAACAGTCAAACTATTGGCCTGAGGTGTAGAGGATAGTGTTTTGAACTGTTGCCCAAGGCCGAGGGCAACAGTTGAAGAGACACTATCCCCGACATTGAGGGACAAGTGTTTGACTGTTCCCACATTACATATGAAATAACTGTTTTATTACCTGATCAATAATTGTTTCATCAGTGCTTGCAGAAGAAAAAAGAAACAAGAAAATAGTTTTGCAAATATGTTAATGCTTCAAGGGCGAATCCTCCATGACATCAGAGCACGTGTGGGTAACAGTCAAAATTATTGACCATTCAACAGTTTGCGAACATTTTCAGAAAACAGTAAAAAATACCAATTACATTTACGTAATAAAATACATTATTATATGATCTAAATATAGCTGCAATCTCATTGGTCCAAACAGTAGTCAATAAAACTTTTTTGTGCCCCCACATTAGTGGCGGGCATTTAGATTTACCCTTGTCTGTCCTTCCGTCCGTCCGTCCGTTCACTTTTGTGTCGCACGTAACTCAAAAAGTATTTGACCTAGAGTCATGAAACTTTACAGGAATGTTGATCAGCATGTGTAGTTGTGCACCTGGGTATTTTGGTCTGGATATTTTTAGTATTTTCAGAGTTATTGCCCTTGACTTAGTAAAATTTTGCAATTTTCAACTTGTGTCGCATGTAACTCAAAAAGTATTTGACCAAGAGTCATGAAACTTTACAGGAATGTTGATCAGCATGTGTAGTTGTGCACCTGGGTATTTTCGTCTGGATATTTTTAGTATTTTCAGAGTTATTGCCCTTGACTAAGTAAAATTTTGCAATTTTCAACTTGTGACGCATGTAACTCAAAAAGTATTTGACCTAGAGTCATGAAACTTTACAGGAATGTTGATCAGCATGTGTAGTTGTGCACCTGGGTATTTTTGTCTGGATATTTTTAGTATTTTTAGAGTTATTGCCCTTGACTTAGTAAAATTTTGCAATTTTCAACTTGTGTCGCACGTAACTCAAAAAGTGTTTGACCTAGAGTCATGAAACTTTACAGGAATGTTGATCAGCATGTGTAGTTGTGCACCTGGGTATTTTCGTGTGCATATTTTTAGTATTTTTAGAGTTATTGCCCTTGACTTAGTGAAATTTTGCAATTTTCAACTTGTGTCGCACATAACTCAAAAAGTATTTGACCTAGAGTCATGAAACTTTACAGGAATGTTGATCAGCATGTGTAGTTGTGCACCTGGGTATTTTCGCCTGGATATTTTTAGTATTTTCAGAGTTATTGCTCTTGACTTAGTAAAATTTGGCAATTTTCAACATGTGTCGCACATAACTCAAAAAGTATTTGACCTAGAGTCATGTAACTTTATAGGAATATTGATCAGCATGTGCAGTTGTGCACCAGGTATTTTCGTCTGGATTTATTTAGTATTTTTAGAGTTATTGCCCTTCACTTAGAAAATTTTTGCAATTTTCAACTTGTGTCGCAAGTTTCTCAAAAAGGATTTGACATAGTCAATAAACCTTATGGGCAGGTTGCTCAGCATATTTAGATTTGCACCTGGGGTTTCGCTTGTGGGTTTATCCAGTATTTGTAGAGTTGTTACCCTTGACTTAGTAAAAAGATTGACAGAACAGTGTCGCGGTGGGGGCACCCGTGTCCTATGGACACATTTCTAGTATAAAATCATATTTACTAGGTGTAGTATCATATTCACTGGCTGAATTGGATTTTCCCAGTCTAAAAAAAGATTGAGACTCATATTCAATGATCATACAATGTAGACTGTTAATTACGCATGTTGATTAAAAAATAATTGTTGCTTATTGTTCTTTAGGGCATATTTCTCGATTAAAATATCAATACTTTACTATTATACTTAAAGGTTACACCGCAATGATGAGTATAAACTTGAATTTTTTTTGTATGCGCAGCGTTCGCGTAGTCGTTGCACAATTAACATGTGCGTCTTTTTTCCCGCGCTTCAACAAAGCAAAATTTGTACATATCATTTATTATGATAAGGTTGTACTTTTGTGATTTTTAGTCCCCTACCGGTTTACCGGAGGGGACTTTAGGTTTACCCTCCGTCCGTCTGTCCGTCCGTCTGTCTGTCAGTCAGTCAGTCCGTCCGTCCACAAAACTGGATCCCGCGATAACTTGAAAAGTACTGAAAATATTTTTATGAAACTTGATATATGGATAGATGGCAGTTTGGAGATTATGCACGTCTTTTTCTTTTCTTCCTATGTTGAAAATTCTGGTTGCTATGGCAACAAATAGGCTGAAAATATGGCAAATTTTACACATAAACTGGATCCAGTGATAACGCAAAAAGTACTGAAAATATTTTTATGAAACTTGAAATATGGGTAGATGGCAGTCTGGATATTATGCACGTCTTTTTCTTTTCTTCCTATGTTGAAAATTCTGGTTGCTATGGCAACAAATAGGCTGAAAATATGGCAAATTTTACACATAAACTGGATCCAGTGATAACGCAAAAAGTACTGGAAATATTTTTATGAAACTTGATATATGGATAGATGGCAGTATGGAGATTATGCACGTCTTTTTCTTTTCTTCCTATGTTGAAAATTCTGGTTGCTATGGCAACAAATAGACTGAAAATATGGCAATTTTTACACATAAACTGGATCCAGTGTTAACGCAAAAAGTAATAGAAATATTTTTATGAAACTTGTAATATGTGTAGATGGCAGTCTGGAGATTAAACACGTCTTTTTCTTTTCTTCTTATGTTGAAAATTCTGGTTGCTATGGCAACACATAGACTGAAAATATGGCAAATTTTACACATAAACTGAATCCAGTGATAACTCAAAAAGTACTGGAAATATTTTTTTGAAACTTGACATATGGGTAGATGGCAGTCTTGAGATTATGCATGTCTTATCTGTTCTTCCTATTTTGAAAAAATATTGGTTGCCTTGGCAACAAATAGGCTTAAAACATGGCAAATATAACAATATTTGTGATTAGTCAAAAAGAGCTGAAACTTTTTTATACGCGCGTTTGAAAAATGGGACGTATTATGGGAACGCCCCTGGCAGGCAGGCGGTCGGGCGGGCGGGCGGCGTCCAATTTTGTCCGGAGCATATCTCCTACATGTATGGAGGGATTTTAATGAAACTTCATATAAATGTTCACCACTATGAGGAGCAGTGTCGCGCACATGAACCAGGTCTCTAGGTCAAAGGTCAAGGTCACACTTAGAGCTCATTGAAAAATGCTTGTCCGGAGCAAAACTTCCACATGTATAGAGGGATTTCAATATTACTTGGCACAAATGTTCACCATTGTGAGGCGGAGTGTCGCGTGCAAGATTCAGGTCCTTGCGGCCAAGGTCAAGGTCACACATAGAGGTCAAAGTTCAGATGAAAATATGAAGATGTGTATATGGACCATTTAGTCATCATTTATTGAGGGATTGTAACACAAATGGTCATTATCAAGACTATGGCTGTGATACATATAATTTAGGTCAATATATACAAGGTCAAGGTCACTAAAGAGGATGAAATATCCAGATTTTGTAAATAGAATTTAATCAAAGGGAGACAACAAAGTTATTACTTTGTTCATAAATGACTTACACAATTACTCCCCTTGATCTATTTTCACTTTCAATTCTAAAAATAGAATTTAATCAAAGGGCATGAAATAATCCTCTTTCTTGGACTTGAGTATGTTCTAAAGAATGTAACATTTATTTACACATGTTTCATTCATTGGTCAAGATTCTTAACTGTGATAACTATGGTGTTCTGTAGACTTGGTATTTGTTCATAAAGATCATACAGTAAATTACCTTATCAAATGTAAATACTTTCTCATAGAAATTTAATTATATTTTAATTTTCAAGTAAATATCAGTTCAACTCATTCAAAGATTAAGAATTGTAATGAAATGTATTTCCCTAGAATAAAATCTTAAAATCAGAATTTTTTAGTTATTAAATTACATGTACTTTTTATACGCCCGTTTAAAAAAAAGATAAAAAATATGAAGATGTGTATAGGGACGATTTAATCATCATTTATTGAGGGATTGTAACACAAATGGTCATTATAATGACTACCGCTGTGACACATGTACTTTAGGTCAATATATGCAAGGTCAAGGTCACTAAAGATGGTGAAATATCCAGATTTTGTCTGGAGCATATCTCCTACATGTATGGAAGAATTTTTATAATACTTTATGGAAATGTTCACCACCATGATATGTATTGCTCCATGCATGATCCAGGTCTCCAGGTCAAAGGTCAAGGTCACACTTAGAGCTCATTGAAAAAACGCTTGTCCGGAGCAAAACTTCTACATTCATAGGGGGTTTTCAATATAACTTGACACAAATGTTCACCATTGTGAGGCTGAGTGTCGCATGCAAAATTCAGATCCCTGCGACCAAAGTCAAGGTTACACATAGAGGTCAAAGTTCAGATAAAAATTTGAAGATGGTTATAGGGACCATTTAGTCATCATTTATTGATGGATTGTAGCACAAATGGTAACTATCATGACTACAGGTGTTACACATTTAATTTAGGTTAATATTTGCAAGGTCAAGGTCACTGGAGATGATTAAATAACCAGATGTTGTCCGGAGCATATTTTCTACATGCATGGAGGAATTTTAATGTTACTTTTATAGAATTGTTCACCACCATGAGACGTAGTGCCCTGCACATAAACCAAGTCTCTAGGTCAAAGGTGAAGGTCACAGTTAGAGCTCATAGAAAAACACTTGTCTGGAGCAAAACTTCTACATGCATAGAGGGATTTCAATATAATTTGGCACAAATGTTCATCATTGTGAGGCTGAGTGCCGTGCATAAAATTCAGGTCCCTGCGACCAAGGTCAAGGTCACACATTCTGTGCATATCTTCCCTATTGATTTGTTTTAAGGTTCATTTAACAACACAGTGCCAAGAATAAAAACTTGCTTGCTAGATAACACTTATCCATAATGCCCCCATCTCCATCTAAAGCTTTTTCGAAAACTGGCGTATTTTGTGACTATGGCACCCTTGTATGAAATTGCATCTTTAATTCCAGAGTTATCTCCTCTTTAAGAATTTTGCTTTTTAAAATGTTATATTTTGGTAACAGGGATGTTTCAAATATTAACTTTAGAGTGTCCTTCAGTCCGTCTGTCTGTCTGTTCATAAAAACTTTTTCCTCCTGTGATCACTTTTAAAGAACATTTCCAACAAATTTACTTAAAATAGAGAAAAATTTACACATTAGTGAATGGCCAATGGCCCTTCAGAATGCTGATGGGGTTCTATCCGGTAGGGGACTTATGGATTGCTTGCAATACTATGATAATTGCTTGTTTTTTAAATTTCTTAGCCTATTCATATAATAAAACAATTATTGACTAGTGAACCATTGAACCTATCGCCTCGGTCAATATGTCAACTGCCGGTGAATATCACATCATATTCAATGGCTCACTAGTCAATAATTGTATAATATTGTTTTATTTCATGAAGGTTGCATTTGTAACAACAGACATAGCATTAATAATTATTATATTATAATAATATACAATGTTAACTGTTTTGTATAATACAATGAGTAGGGAAAGAAAGATTTATAGAATCATGGGAACTTTTGCTTACATTATTTTATATCATGCTGATACCATGAGTACTCTTAACTGAAATATTCTTCCTCAGATGTGTTCTCAAACTTTTGGACTGTGGCCCCCACTAGGTGGTGGCTCTTGTTTTTTTTAAAGTTTAACACAACATATGGCATGCTGAGCATGCCACGGCCATTCCAAACTTTCAATGTTGAGAAGTTTGCAGTTAGCAGTTTCTTGTGGAAAAGAGATGTCTTAAATAATCATGAAATTTAGGAAACTATCTGCTGGCATCCCATAAACCTGGTGCTGTTACCTAGAGTACTGTAAACCTGATGTTGTTACCTAGAAAACTGTAAATATTGTACTAACTGTTAGCTAGTATACTGGAAAATTAGTGCAGTTTGGATGTTAGCTACTCTATTATAAACCTGGTGCTCAAAGTTGTTACTTTCTAGAATACTGTAAACCTGATACATGCGTTGTTACCATTTATAAGTACATGGTTATACATACATGTATGCAAAATAATAATTAGATAATGCCAAAACAATAATTAGAACAATATCCTTGCTTTTTCTGTAAAACTGACTTGTTTTCCATTACTTTGGACCTATTAACCCATTACTTCATGAGCATTTTGTGAAGATTTTAATGGCTGTTTTCATTGAAAAGTCTCCTGTTACAAGTTCAAATTGCTATAAAAACTGCTTCAATACTAATCAAACTTGGCACAAATGTTAACTGGACCATTGCCTTTGTAACAACATGCCCAGGCTTAAATTTCCTGTTACCATGGCAACGAGGGGACATCTCAAAATGCCAAAAATCAAGATTTTGTGTTGATTTTTTCCATCAAAATTGATTTCAAAGTGCTGCAACTTCTCAATGGATTGAGATAGAGTCAAATGCTTTTCAGCATAGGTTACACATTACCTTATGATCGATCTGGGGTCATTTTAAGCCTCTCACAAGTCCAAATCAAAATTTTCTTGGCAATGAGGGGGACTGCCTCCCCCATTCAACCCCCCCCCCACCTGAACAGAAGGGGGCACATCCCTCTTCTGGCTACCCCCTAATGTATATTTTTGGTTGGGGCCGCGCCAAAAAAGTGGTCATTTGTTTAAACAACATTTCTCAAACAAAAATAAGTGTTGGGGGCCTAAATAAGGCTTTTTTCACACTTTGAGACAATAAAAAGGGGGTTGAAAAAGGCGTTAAAATTCGTGGATATCGGTTAATGGGAAACCATTAATAACATACATTTGCTTGGATTTCAATATCATTATTGAACAGTAAACATTTTATAGTGGTCTATCAAATGTTTTGAACTTGATACTGTTTGTATACTGTACCTGTTGTAATTGCTAGCCTACAGCATTCAAAATGTTAATAATTATAATGTCTCACTTTTGATGTGTTATATATTATAAATGTACAACACAGACTGTCCAGCGTCCCTAAAATTTCCAAAAATTCCAATTTTTTTTGCAGTTTGGCTTTATTTCCAAAAAAAAATGAAAAATTGAAAGAGAATTCCTATTATAATAATTCCTATTATTATTTGAAGATAAAACATTGGGAAATCACTGGCTTCCCAGATATCACCAAAATGCAGATGTTAATGGTCCAGGACTTGGTAACTCCGGATGACAACGACTGCATCAATTTTAGACTCATCCGAAATTGTGTTAGAGTTACCTCCCTTCTCCCGCCAATAAGTCCACGTTGCAAATCCATAAACAAAGATATTTGAGAAGCCTAATAATTAGTTGTAATTAAAGCGTGATACTACATATCTAAATGCTGGCTAGCGACAGGATTATACAGGCTTACTTGATAGAATGATCGTAAAGAATGCATCCAAGAAAAAGGAGAAAATTGTTGACCTGGTTAATTGGCATTTTTGTTTCACTTTTGACGTTTTATTTTGTGAAAAATGCATACACGTTCGTTGTCATGAAAAAGTTAAGAGCCAGATTGAAACCAGGGGTATGTATACTCATTAGAGCATGAACTGTTTGTTGTGTTGTTGTTTTTTATTTTTGCATGTTCAGTATAGATATACACTCAGATACATGTATAACTACATGTTATGTCTAAGATTATAGACGTGTACAATGTACGTAACAATGTACACGTCTTTATTATTATTGAATTTGAATATGAAATTTTCTATCTAGGTGACCAATTAATGATATTGTCAGATTGTGAATTAAGCATATGTGCTGTCCATTATTACAGTGTTAAACACTGGAAGAAATATTAAAACCTTTAAATGCATCTCTGACTTTGGCAAAACAACAAACTTGACATTGATGGAACATTGATCTGGATGGAAGGGCTTTAGATAACAAGGATGAGACATATTCAATGCTAGATGTGCCTGCACTGAACTACTGAGGCATTGAGTTTGAGAACTGAGGAGGGTAAGTGGTTCCAATGGTAAACAGTTCCAAGGAAACAAGGAAAGAAAGAGAATTATGAAAGTTTGAAGTTGCTGTTAATAACCAATAGCTCAGGGGATGGGCATGGCATATTTGAAGAATGGGGTCAAGTATTCTTCAATAGGGATAGAAACCAAAGTGTGTACATCACTAATTTATTTTTTCATCTATCAGACTCTTTAAATGGGCTGCTAAATCAGTAATATGCATGACTAATTGTTTTACACGTCAGGTCAAAATGATGTTTGTAATTGTAGCAAAAGTAGTCAAAAAGTGTTGTGATGAATTATGGTGGTTTCGTCTAACTACCGGTTCGTCTAACTTAATTTATGAAGAGGTGCGAAAGTGGTTTCGTCTAACTGATGTTATATAGTAATTAAAGGCAAAGTAGACGTGGTTCATATATATATAGTGTTTTTATCATCAATAATTTGTTATAATTAAATTATGACGCAAATATCATTAATGAATATAATATATTATAGAAGTATGTTTATATATTATACTTATTTTGAAAAGGTTTTTTCGTTATTTGATAAATTATTTTTGAGTCAAGAATAAAAATTATAATACAATATATTAATATATTAGTAAATGTCTATTTGTGAATTTTCAAATATTTTGATATATTTCTAAATAAAAAATAAAATTCTTTTCACGGAAAATGAAATAAAAAAGAAATTATTTTTTTTTAGTATATATGTCGATTTTATTCCGATTAAAAGCATTTTTTTCAGCTTTAACTATTTGTATATATAGTTGACATAGATTATATATAATATGTTTAAATTTTCAATAGCTTGTCTTTAATTGCATGAAAATGTGTGATAAACCACACATTAAGACCCGCGATAATTGAAGTGCCCATTATACAATAGCTATTGTTCACTAAATTAAGTTAGCCGAAACCACTACCTGTTTTACTATATAAGATCAGTTAGACGAACCAGTAGTTAGACGAAACCACTCCCACCCGTTGTGATTATGTGAGAACTTAAATGAATGCATAATTCTTTCTGGTGCCCCCTTATTGACATTTATTTCTATGTATAGGGAAATCATGTAAAATGTAAGATTTTATACGGAAAACAGAACTGGGACTTGCATATTCAGTATTACTTGGCAGGCTATATGACCTTTAGCTGCTGTCTTTTCCATTGAATATAACCAAAAACTAAAATATTTAAGGATGCATATGCGTCAATATATAGTTAGATGCAATTTAGTAAATCAGACAAAAATCTTTCAAAAATATTAAATTATTAATTTCTTGAATCCTGTTTCATAGAAATGCTAAAAATTCCAATTTTTGACAGAGATTATGGGAAAATACTATAACAATCCTTATAATTGTTTAAAGTGGGTAGAAAAATATAAATAGCTCCCCTGACAGATCAGTACAGTAGAGTAGCATCTCCCATCCCATCCTCTAACATTCTTCAAAAATAAACACACTGTACATATAATGTATTATTCCATCCCCTAAAGGTCTAAAAAAAGGTATGAACCTGTTTAATATTGGTTGTGTTAATAAAGGAGAAGCTGTAAATGTTACACATTTAAAAACATGTCTAGATACTACTCCTAATTTTGCTCCAGGAATATCTGGTAGATTTGGGTGACTTTGAAATGGCAAAGTTTTTTACTGTGAATGAACCCGCTATAAATCCCTTGCAAGGTAGACAGGATGGAAATATCACTCTACACCGGCAGCTTCCAGATACCAGACCAGCCATGTAAATATTGTTGAAATATATTCTTTAAAGCTGCATGCCTCCAGATGAGCCAAAATATTTCAAGAAAATCAAACTTGAGAAACATGTATATAGATTTTAAGAAAAGTAAAAAAGAATCGAAATTTAAGTAAATATTTACATGTTAAGTGTGATTTATAATGACAGATTTTGCAGTATATATCACCGTATTGCTACTGAGTGACTAACGCAGTAAGGGCTGTTTTTGTATATTTTGAGCTCTTAATGGTATTTTTCATGGATTATAAGTGCCATTTGTAATGTGCAAATTACTTTTCTTTATTTACTTCTTTTAAAACACATTCAAAATTTTCATGAAAATTAGCATGAATCTGGAGACTTACTGCAAAACTATCAAAAGTATATGAATATATTTTAACTTAAAAGGTTTGTAGAGGCTAGCAAATATGTAGATATATAAGTAATTTATTAAATCTAACCTACAAGTGTTTAATTAACTCTAACTCTGCTGAAAAGGAAAGTGATTAGCTTCTGCCAATAGTATAGATCCAGGCCAGCTTGCAGATCAATGCAGTCTGACCAGGCTCTTTGCTTTTAACCAGTTGACATTTTGGTGGTCGAAGTAATCTTGATATACTAAAAAAATTGTAATAAACAGTTTCAATATAGGAAGATGGACAAGTTCAATGAAATAATTTAGCAGGGTGAGAGAGTTAATTTGTGAGACAGATAGATGTCTAGATGTCAATATTTACTCATTTGAGCTGTGTCACGACAAAACCAACATAATGGGTTTGCGACCAGCATGGATCCAGACCAGCCTGCACATCCACGCAGTCTGGTCAGGATCTATGCTGTTCGCTTACAAACCCTATTACAAGTTGAGAAACTGATAGCAAACAGCATGGATCCTGATCAGACTGCGCAGATGCGCAGGCTGGTCTGGATCCATGCTGGTCGCAAACCCACTATGTTGGTTTTGTCATGACGCAGCTCATTTTATTCTAATGATTATTCCGTCAGTGTAGAGTCTTGCATAGTTTTTATCCCTTCAGTATAAATGTAATATATATTACAAGATTCTTGTACCCTGGGTGGGCACTAAAGATATATTTGGTTGTAGATGTCTTTCATTAAACCATGGTATATTTAGTAAGATTTTCTTTTTCTTTCAGATGTTTGTCAAAGAAAGAAAGTATTATATCTCTACAAACCAGTATTATTGTCTATTATAACAATCAAATGAGGTTAAATGTACTGAAAACTATATACAGGTAAAATTAAATAAAATAATTTTCTATGATGTCTTTATGGTATGCTTTGTAAAATGTTAATTACAAGAGTTTTTGGTAAACTTTATACAGTCAAATATTTCGTTTAATTTGTCATTTCAGTAAATAGAACTTTAAGTTTAAAACAAGTCATTGATATTTATAGTGAGGAAAGTAGTGTCAGTGGCCGAGTGGTAAAGGGTGTTCACTTCAAACCTCTTGCTCCTTTATGACTGTAGGTTTGAACCATGCCAGTGACTTTGGATTCTTTCATTTGAAGAAGCTATTCAGCTTGCTTGAAGAATGTCGGTGGTTCTACAGGTGCCCTCTTTTGCATGAAATAATGAGTGAAGAGGCACCTAAGGTCTACCTCCACAAATAAAGCTGGTGATTTGTCATGGGACCTCTACTGTGTTCGTGCCATGTAAATCCCAACTGAAAAATAAAAAAAGGGGAAATTAGCATATCTTTTTACACATACAATGTACATGTAGTTTTAAATATGTAGCTCTCAATGTTGTCACATTGTTTGCTTTGTATTTTCAATCTATGATTTGTTTGTTTCTTTACAGTATTTTGTTAAGAACTCCACCAGAGTTGATCAATGAAATCCTACTGCTGGATGATAATAGTGAAGATGGTAGGTGAAAATTTGTCAGTGGTACTTTCGTAGTTGGTACAGGTACAGGTAGTTGGTACATTGGTTACTGGCATACCAGTGTTATTGCACAACTACTGAATTAACAACTTTGAAAGAAAATAACTATTAAAAGCACCAAGTATTTTGTAGGAATGGTGACTTTGTATGAGCAATTAAGGCAACCAGATATCTAAAAGTAAAATACATAGTTTTAGGATTTTGTTAGTTTGTATGCTAGCATACAAAATGCAGCTCTGCTAACTCATTACAGTCAAATTTTGCCTATCAGACCTATCAAGTCCATTTCCATACTTTGACCACCATTATGGTTGGTCTAACTTTTGGCTATCAAGTTCATTTCTATACTCTGACTACCATTATGGTTGGTCTTATTTTAGGCTATCAAGTCCATTGCCATATTTTGACCACCATTTTGGTTGGTCTTACCATAGGCTATCAAGTTTATTTCCATACTTTGACCACCGTTATGGTTGGTCTTACTAAAGGGAGTTTTGTACCTAGTAAAACAGACAATGAACTGATTTTAGACTCCCTGAAAAAAACATTGTCTGATAAAAAACCAAGCGGTGCAGATTCTAATACAAATTTTATACTGTTCTAATTATTTTCAAATATACAGGTAAAATACGAGGGATGTCCGGAAAGTTCATATACTTCTTCATTTTTTATTATATAACAATATATATGTTGTACAAATTTTGTCAGCAAAGATATACATATCTAGCGAACACATTTATCAAAAATTACTGAACTGTGACTTACATTTGTATTTTAACAGTAATTACATACAACATATGTACCACACAATGGAGCACTTTGACAACGTCAACGGCGTCAAATTAACTTCATGTTTACCCGCTATTCAATTTCTTCCGATTTCAACAGCCATGGTACCTGTCTGGCGTATACTTAATACATGTTATGTTGCTTTTACTTTATGAATTTCATATTTAAAATTAATATTTTAAAACAAAAATGTCACTGGTTCTCATACAGTGTGTAAGATGTCTGTCTTTTTCAAAGGTTATTGTAACGCAATATACGATATTTTGCCTACATTTGTATGCTACCTTTGGTCGTCTGTAGCGTTTCTTATACGATATACTGTCATCGCGGCTTCTTAATCTTGTTTGACATTTAAACACAAGTTGCCTTAAACATTTTATGGTTGGTTTTGTTTTTAAAGTAAAGATTAAAATCTCAGTTGGTGCCATATTAGCGTTGCTTTGAAGTTAAATATCATTACATTGCTCCGTCCGTGCAACACAAAATTTATACACCTTCATTGCCTATAATCGTAGTTTACAAGTTGTTTATTTGCGTATGATGTCATAATTTTCACTAAATATCATGTCATAGTATCTCTTGATGTCACAAAATTAAAAACGAGAGTTTGCGTTAAAATTACAACTTGTAGCAACTTTTATTCGAGTAGCTATCGTCATGAAAATCGAAGTGCTCCGTGATTCGTTGATCATGTTGCTATGGTGATAAGCGCTTTGCGAATATTTCTTTTATCATGTTTTTTAATTTAGAAATATGTAGAAGATAAATACTTTAGCAAAATATTCAGTCATCATATTGATATGACTGTTAATAATAATTTCATATCCTTGTCTACGAACTTTCCGGACAGCCCTCGTATATATTATTTTTGCTTTATTTTTAGCTCGAACCCTAAAAGCTTGGGTTATATAATTATGCAAACAGCCATTTATATAGGGCAATATAATCTGTCAAAAATCTTTATAGTATAATCTAGTTTTCTTGTTTCAGCAAGTGCCTCTGAAATGCTGTCAAGAATTCCAAAAGTGAAGATTATTCGTAATCAGAAACAAGAGGGTATGTATAGTTCAATTTTATGTATTAAAATTAAATAAACATTAGATCTATGTAATTGTAGGAATTTAATGTAATTAGTTTGTTTTGCTCAAACAGGAGCTATATTGTTTTGTAAAGTATGTCTGTTGTCTATAGATAGACAACTTAGCCTTAACCAATTTGTTCTTAAATTTTGAGCCTTCCTTTTTAGACACAGAATAGTTCAGTAACTTTGTAGGAAAATTTTAATTTAATGTATTGAAATATGACCTTGACTCCTTATTGCTTATAGGATTTAAGTCAAGGTCATAAGTTAAAACTTTATATGTGAGGAAACTATACAGTCAGTGCTTCTACTTGCGTGCCTGCTTGTGCTTGAAATTGTGCTGGGAGGGGCATCTGATGTTTACTTTCATCAGTAAAGCTATAACCTAGACAGTGTTAGGATGACTTCAATACAAAAGAAAATACATAGATTCAAGCAGATATTGTTGATGCCTTGATGTAAAGACAAATATTTTATACAGTGATCCAGGGCTTCCATTAAGTTTCAAAATTTGGAAGTCCGAAACTGTAAAATCTCTGAAATTTGAAGTCACATTATATATTGAATAAAGGAAAAGCATTATAAACTGGAAGTCACAAGCCAGAACCAAGGAGTAAATGTCTCCCAAACTTCCATTAATGGAAGCCTTGGTGATCATTAAATGTCTGTATAATCATCATTTAATTAAGTGAAATAGCTGTGATTATTTAATTTGTATAATTATATGTAGGTATAATACGAAGTTATAATCTAGCTGCTAGTATGGCACAGGGACCTGTGTTAATGTTTCTTAAAGCTGACTGTGAGGTGAATGTTGGATGGCTTCAGCCGTTGATTGATAGACTGGCTCAATTACCAACTGCTGTTGTTGCCCCTGTACTGGATAAAATTGATACAAAGGGAGAATACTCTGCCTCAATGAATTCTGGAAGGGGAGGTAAAATTTTATAGTTTTTTTTGTTTGTTTTTTTATAAATCTCGATATACTGTTTAAGTGGTTATTTTTGCGACATGGACATATTTGCGATTTGAAATTATTCGCAAATATTTCATTACGCAATAATTATTCCCATTTATGCAAACTTTTCTATCATTTTAAAACACGTTTTCATACAGCATCTTACATGAATAAGTTTGTCTGTTCAGGTACTGAGATTAATTTTTCTCATTGCTTGTTTCTTTAAGTTTGGTCTTAACAAATCACAATATAAATATAAAACAATATATGCGCCGCGCCATGACAAAACCAACATAGTGCGTTTGCGACCAGCATAGATCCAGACCAGCCTGCGCATCAGCGCAGTCTGATCAGGATCCATGCTGTTCGCTATCAGTTTCTCTACTTGTAATAGAGTTTGTAAGCGAACAGCATGGATCCTGATCAGACTGCGCTGATGCGCAGGCTGGTCTGGATCCATGCTGGTCGCAAACGCACTATGTTGGTTTTGTCGTGACGTGGCTCATATGTGTTAATAACTCAACAGGTTATTCATATTACAAAAGAATGTTTCAAAATATGACAAAGAAATATGTGATTGGGTTCTTTATCAAACTAACAATGTATATTTCAAACAATTGTATAAGAAATAAAGGTATTAAACAATTGAAAAGAACGATTACAGTAATAACATATTCTTAACATCTACCAGCTTAATTAATGTTATCACAAAATTAGTGATAAATTCAAGAAGTCAAATTTTCGTAAATAATTCTGCATGCAAAAAGTCTACATTTTTGACATTTCGCAAAATTTTTGTGACGCAGAAATATCCACTTAAACATTACATTGAATTTTGTTTGGTTGTAGATTTTGCAAGATTTTAATTTTTGATGCTTGAAAAAAACTTATTTTGATGGTATCTTTGAAAATGTAACTGCTTTACCAAGTATCAGGTCGTGTTCAGTGTCATCATTCTGTACATGTATATTTTTTTTGTCATTAAGTTATATGCAAACAACAAAAATCATTCAATTTTCATTCCATTTTCAGGGTTTGATTGGAGTTTAATCTTTAAATGGGAAGAGAGCAGTCAAGGAAATGAGCAGCTAAATGGCAAAATTATAAGGCAAGTATTTTTTGCTGGATTATGAAAAAGAAACACTTGTATCTGCAGAGTTATATGGTGATTTACTACTAGTTTAATTGTTGAAGTTAGATCCAGTTACTAGATTGTGCTACAGTAAAATGATCATTGTTTTTGTAATGAATTATTAGCTATCAATTTGTGATCTAAGATATTTTAAAGCAGCCTTGAGCTTTTATTTTCTGTTTGAAAAACAATTCTGTGTTGTTTCAAACTAAGTATTTCAGTAATTATATCTTGGAAAAGTGCATCATATCACTGTTAAGCCTTCTTTAAAACAGTGTCTCAAGAGCTATTTTTGTGTCGCCTCTACGGAGTAGTGGCGACATATAGGGATCACTTCTCCGTCGTCTGTCTGTCCGTCCGTCCGTCACAAAACTTGTCCGGACTACCCCTCATAAACTACTGGTGCAATTTCATCCAAACTTTACAGGAATGATCAGTATCAAGTCTAGTTGTGCATATTGTCAGCATTTTTCGGTTCAATGATTTTTGTCAGAGTTATGGCCCTTTAATAATTTTTAATTTTAAAGTTTGTCCGGTCTACTTCTCTTATACCACTAATGCAATTTCAATGAAACTTTACAGGATTGATCTGTAGCTCAAGTCCTTGCGCATATTGCAAGGGTTTTCCGGTTGAATGATTTTTGGCCGAGTTATGGCCCTTTGATAAAAAGGTGTTATTTTCTGTGTGTTGCCAGATACACAATAGCTTGTCCGGACTACTCCTCATAAACTACTGGTGCAATTTCATCCAAACTTTACAGGAATGATCAGTACCAAGTGTAGTTGTGCATATTGTCAGCATTTTCCGGTTCAATGATTTATGTCAGAGTTATGGCCCTTTAATAATTTTTATTTTTAAAGTTTGTCCGGACTAGTTCTCTTATACCACTTATGCAATTTCAATGAAACTTTACAGGATTGATCTGTAGCTCAAGTCCTTGCGCATATTGCACGGGTTTTCCGGTTGAATGATTTTTGGCTGAGTTATGGCCCTTTGATAAAAAGGTGTTTTTTTCTGTGTGTTGCCAGATACGCAAAAGCTTGTCCGGACTACTCCTCATAAACTACTGGTGCAATTTTATCCAAACTTTACATGATTGATCAGTACCAAGTGTAGTTGTGCACTGTCCGTCTGTCTGTCCGTCTGTCACAAAATTTGTCCCAACATGAAATTGGCCATTATGAGGCGACACATGTGATTACTGATCGCTCTTGTTAATGTATTAGTGACGTTCTTAAAAGAAGATCGGGAAATAAATCTTCTGCTTAACTAATTTACATATAGATTGCGGACTGGTAGATTAGAGATATTGAGAAGTTTCCTTATTGTTGATGTATTTTATTGTCGGCAAATTTAATTTTCCACTTTAATTCTTTTTATTTGAATTATATGAAAGGACTGAACTAAATATAACGTATTTAACTTTTAGAAAAGCTGAAGGCCCCTTTAATATTAAAATATAAAGATTGAGCAATCATCGTCTATAGTATCTGGAAAGATGCATATCTCTAAACTGATTGGACAGATATGTTATTATAACCATAAGCTAGCAAAGTATTAGTTTATACAAATTTATTTTAGTTTGATTGTATTGGAAGCTATAAGCTTATTGAAACACTTTAAAATCCTTTCCCGGAACCAACCAGTACATAGCAATGAATGTAAAGTATAGTGCTCAAGGAAACAAAGGCTTACCTCTGACAGGGTTTGAACCCATGCAGTTGGCAATCCTTAGATTACTAGTCTGATGTGATAACCACTTGGCCACGTCACCACTCTAGCAAAGTATTAAATGTGTTCCGAAATATACCTTGATAATAACATAACAAAATCATGGAAATTCAAAGCAAAAGCTTCCCAAAATAAAATAACCCTTGAGTGAAGATGTTTTGACACCTTAAGCATTTTTACAGTGTCAGTTTCTTACACCTTTTCTTACTGGTTCAAAACAACTATGTTGATGACTTCTTGCTAGTACATTAAATTGATGTTGATTTTTAGAATGCCTATTTTTGGCCGGGTTGCAAACCCGGGGTAAAAAATGGTGAATGTAGCGCGGCGGGCAGGAAAAAAACTTTTTGTAACAGTTTTCTTAGCAACTACTTATCACAGCCTCTTGATTTTTGGTATACTAAATTAAAAGTTGGTCCTATACCAAGGGACTCAATTTGTGTCTGTCGTTCATCCTCTTCCTGTTTACCAACTTTTCGACATTAATGGTCAATGGTAGGAAATTTTCATAACAGTTTTTTCAGCAACAAATTATCACATTCTCTTGATATTTGGTATACATCATTAACACATGGTCCCATACGGTGGAATTGGATTTAAGGTTTGTTGCTCATCCTTTTCCTGTTTACCAACTAAGTTGACAATGGGATTGGAATTAATGATTGTTGCTAATCCTTTTCCTGTTTATCAACTAAGTTAAATTTTGGACATCAATGGTCAATGGACCTAAACAAAACTAGTCTTGAATCAAGGACAGGGTAGTATATAAGTTACCCAATGATATTGATTTTATGATCATCATGAATAGCAGTGGTAAGGGAATAACTGATCTTTGTTTGTGTTTTCAAAATGGTTGCTATAATAGTGCACATTATAAAACGAATATATTTATCATTTTACATGTTGTTTACATTTCGTAACGAATAACATTTTGTGATATTTTCAGGTCCCCAGTTTATCCAGGTCATGTATTTTGTATAAGAAAAGACAGATTCCTACAGCTGGGAAAATTTGATGATGAGCTAGAATTAGAGGGTGGAGACAATTTTGGTATGCTTATATATCAAATGTTTCATGGACAACCATAATTTATAATTTGTGACATTTTCTCACCCAATTTAATCACAAGTTGTGGTATTTTTGAAGTTGGTGCAAACCTTTTCAAGTTCTCCTGTCAAGCTTGTATATTTTAAATTGTCAAAGTAAAAGTTGCCATTACAGAGCATTGACTAAAATTGTTTTCTAGTTCTCCTACCAAGCTTGTACGTGTATATTGTTAAGTGATAAAGTTAAAAATTGCATAGATAGAAATAGACACACATGCATGCCACCAATATTGAGTTGAGTCAACTTATATATCCATGGACTGGCTATATACTGTACACTACTTCACTTTAGTACTTTAATTTTTTGACATCTTAAACCCTTAGTCTGCTGATGACTACAAAATCTTCCCATGCAATGAGTGCAGACCCAAGTGTCCTCTGAAAATGGTCTGCACTGTTCACTATTCCATTATTATATAGTCTCTACATATTTTTGAAAGTTTTCCTACAATTGATAAATGTTTTTGCCTATCTTGAAAGATTAAAATTTTCAATTAACAAATTTAGCTTCATAAGGGTGAAGCTACAATGTTCCAAGTTTCAGCATGGAATGACATGTCAGTCATACAAGTACATTGTTTTGGTTAATTTAGGGTAAACATTGCTGTTTAGTATATACATTAAACCTGCAACTTGACTATTTAAGGCACTAGATGGCGCTGGGGCAGATTTTCATGGTATTTTTGACATGCTTCACATCTAACAGCCCTTTTTTGAAATTGTAAAATAACCAAGAAGTATTTTGCCTAAAAACTTTTTGTATAACTTCTTTGCAACATTTGAAATAAAATGGCAGAGAAAATATCACAAATGATTCACTTAAATGTACTTTGTGAAAAAAAAAATCAGTTAACTGTCAAAAATTTGAAAATCCCGGGGCGGAGTAAATGGGGTCATGAACTGCAGGTTGTAAACAAATACACATGGCAGTGTTAACTTTCCAGTAGAAACTTGAAATATTACTCTAGGAAGGGAGCTGCTGATCAGTTACAACAAAAGTTATCGTCTGCTATAGTGTTTGTTTACAGGTACAGCGTCTTCTGATAAACACGCCTACAAAATTCTCCCTACCAGGGCAGGGATTTTTGTGGCTTTAAAGATTGGGCTTGACAATGTAATTTAAACCAAGTTTGTACATACAGCAGTTGCATGTTGATTATCAGACAATCATATGTTAAATTTTGTTGAAATATTTGAGCCGCACCTTGACAAAACCAACATAATGGGTTTGCAACCAGCATGGATCCAGACCAGCCTGCGCATCCGCTCAGTCTGATCAGGATCCATGCTGTTCCCTATCAGTTTCTCCACTTGTTATAGGGTTTGTAAGCGAACAACATGGTCTGGATCCATGCTGGTGGCAAACCCATTATGTTGGTTTTGTCATGGCACGGCTCATTTAGTTAACCCGTAGTTAACTGGCTGCAACTGAATATACTCATGCAACCAGTGCAGACCAAGATTAGTTAACATATCTGTGCCGTCTGATCATGGTCTGCACTGTTTGCTAATTCAGTCACTACATATTTTGAAATTTTCCTAATTTCCCCAAAAGAATTATGAATAGTTTTGTCCAGAATGAAACATGGTCAAGTCTATTTAAGATATTAAGCATGGTAAGTAAATATTGACAAATGTAAAAAGAAAACCACACAATATTTTCCCAACTCTGAATATTTTTTTATTGATGAGAAACCAGATATTCTCATTATAATTGTGTATTTTTTATGTTTCTAGAATTATCATTTAAAACATGGTTGTGTAATGGTGTTGTCGAGATATTGTTGTGTAGTCGTGTAGGTCACCACGACCTGGACAACGAGATTCATGGAGTACCGTCCGGAAAGCAGAACATCTACTTAAAGTAAGATCAGTTTATGCTTAGTTTATGTTTGAAACATATTTACATCAGTGAAATTAGATATTATCATTTAACTGGTAAGTATTCTATCACAACTGTCCTTGATGTGTTGGAAAGGTAAAATTTCCTTACTTGAATAAAGCATGAATATTGTTGGAAAGGTAAAATTTCCTTACTTGAATAAAGCATGAATATAGCTTGATTATTATCACAGCTTTTTGCTTATTTAAACCACTCTCAAGTCCTATTCTATGGTTATCATGTATAAGTGGCATAAGGAATCATTGTTATAACTGTAATTGGACTTGTTAATGTTATCACTGTAATTGGACTTGAAATAACAACTATGTCACTTTTCATCATATTCGACCACTTATGTCTTTTAATAACCAGTGCTTTGCTGAAATTTGTTTCAAGATGCTAAGGGCTTTGTAAATAAAATTTGTGAATCAGCATTATTTTTTTTATTTTTATTTTCAATGTAAATCCTAGCATTATAACTACTAGTCAATTCTTTGTGTCAAAAAAATAACAACAAAAAAAACTGAAGTGGCTCCCTGATGGTGTCATTCTTAAAAATGTTTTCGTTTTCATGAAGGGTTTGACAGAAATGGAAGACAGATGGAAAATTGTTATACATTCTTATACTCCTAAGATTCTTATACTCCTTACAAGAGACCGCCTCCGTGGTCGTTGGGGTTAGAGTAGATGACTTCTATTCCAGTTACCTCTCTGGCGTGGGTTCAATCCCCGGGAGATGCTTTGGTAGTTTAGTGTGGAGGAAGGAACTCTAGTACTGGTGTAACTCTCCAGGAACGATGGTTAGGAAACTACCAGCCTATATGACTGAAATACTGTTGGAAAAAGGGTTAAAATGAAACAAACAAACAAACAAAAGCTTACAAGCTACCTAATATAAAATGTGGAAGAATGACTGATTACTTGAGTATTGAAATATGGTTCTCTTTGCCAACCCTAAGATATATTTACATTAATACCTAAACAATCTCATTCTGTCAATAGATGGGTATTTGTTAAAAAAAAGGTTCATAAGAAATCATATGATATGTTAACTTGTTAGAAATATATATTTTATTTATGACAGGAATATCAAGCGTGTTGCAGAGATTTGGATGGATGATCACAAGAGATTCTTCTACTACACGAAACCTTCTGCTCGAATGCTGAACTTAGGAAGGTGATATGCTATAATGCTTTTAACACCTCATTAGTTTTATAGCCTACACTTTTATTTATTTGTCATTCAGTATCAAACCTTTTCCAAGTGTCACCACGGGTCAGAATATTAGACCCATTCCAAATGGCAAATAATCTTATTTTTTCCAAATCTTTGAAAAAATTCCCAATCAAACTGAAATTCCTAATATCCAAATGACATTCATTCTGGTATCTTACAAACAGATATTTCCTCAAATTTTATCTTCAAATATTTTTGTTAATGTTATGCTTTGATTGATATTTGTGTTGGACAGAATACATATTGTTGCATAATTCAAATACTGCACCAAAAGAGTCTGACAGGAGATTTCAAATGGTACCAAATATTTTTCTCAATTCAGCAATTTAAAGATGCAAAATTTCCCAAACTGGGCTACATACTTTTTCCCAAAAGAGCTAGAATCTAGAATACTCACTTTTATGAGAGAAAGACTTGCTCGAGTGCAGGAGGGAAGTATTTTGTGAATATATGCAATTATGCATTAATAATAATACATGTTATTAAGTCAATAATGTTTTTGATTTTTATGCTCCCGTAGATATTTTATTTAAGTATATCATTGTTGTTTTGTCTGTCTGACTGTCACTCCTACTGTTTCTTATAGCACCTTTTTATTGTTGACTGATATTTGAGGTACCTGCAAATGCATGTTTTTCAGATTTCTTGGATCAATATTTTCCAAGGCTACAGAATTGTTGTCCTGATATTAGGACCATTATTAAGTTCAACTCAAAACATTATTGAGGAGTGTTTACTGATATACTCTTTTTGCACTTTGTTCAAACAGAATTTATTTCAGTTTAATTGTATAGGAAGCTTATAGCTTATAACCGCACTCTGGAATCCATTCCTGGAACCAACTAGTACTGAGCAATGAGGGTAATGTTTCTTGCTCAAGGAAACAATGACTCACCCCTGAAAAGGTCCCACACAGACAGCCATCTTTCGTTTACTTGTCTCATGCCATAACTACTGGGCCATGCCACCTCACTTGTGGCCATGTATATTTATTAATTTCTTTTATTTTTAAGAAATATTTTTAGTACTTGGTCAAAATGTATCATTTGGGGTTTATTTATATATTTATTTTACAATTTTAATTGATAATTTCATGTGAAATCAAGATATAAACTTTTTAAACTATGGTTTTTAAAGGTATATTGATAAGTTTTGTCTTTGAATGATTAAAATTGAGTTTTTTTCAGTTTTCAACTTATATTTTTCAATTTTCAGTATGTAGTTTTAAGTTTTCAACCTGCAGTTCACCAGTTGTACATGTATTTTATAGTTTATAAACTGTATGTTTCAGTGTTATGGAGAGAAAGTCCTTGAGGAAGAATTTAAAATGCAAAAACTTCAAATGGTATCTGGATAATGTGTATAAAGAGCTAAGGTATGCTTAGATCCTAGTTGAGACCAGTGCATGGTAAGGGTGTAGAGGTATACCGGTATATTGCAATATGAAAAAATAAATTTTAAAACCGCTATTTAATAAAATTCATAATTTTCAATTAATTGCCTTCTAATTTTGTACAAATTTCACATAAAATCTTTAATTGGCGAATTTTATTGGCGCAAAACGTAAGATAAAGTATCCGACAACTAGTACACTTAAAAATCATTAAGCGGACGCATAATTTACATAAGCGGCCCAGATGTGAAAGGTCACACGCGACTAGTTTTGTTTATCAAATTGTGTGACACTTTACTTTCTATTTATTCCTCATCAAAACATATACTCGACAATACGTATTGCAATATATTGCAATACGCTTCAGCAAAATGGCAATATATTGCAATACGATTTTTGTCGTATTTTTACACCCCTAGTGCATGGATAACCAGTGTTCACTGACCAGTGCATGGATAACCTGTGTTCACTGACCAGTGTATGGATAACCTGTGTACACTGACCAGTGCATGGATAACCTGTGTACATTGATAAGTGCATAGATAACCTGTGTACACTGACCAGTGCATGGATAACCTGTGTACATTGACCAGTGCATGGATAACCTGTGTTCACTGACAAGTGCATAGATAACCTGTGTACACTGACCAGTGCATGGATAACCTGTGTACACTGACCAGTGCATGGATAACCTGTGTACACTGACATGTGCATGGATAACCTGTGTTCACTGACAAGTGCGTAGATAACCTCTGTACACTGACCAGTGCGTGGATAACCTGTGTTCACTGGCAAGTGCGTGGATAACCTGTGTTCACTGACCAGTGCATGGATAAACTGTGTACACTGACCAGTGCATGGATAACCTGTGTACACTGACCAGTGCATGGATAACCTGTGTTCACTGACCAGTGCGTGGATAACCTGTGTTCACTGGCAAGTGCATGGATAACTTGTGTACACTGACCAGTGCATGTATAATCTGTGTACACTGACCAGTGCATGGATAACCTGTGTACACTGACTAGTGCATGGATAAACTGTGTACACTGACCAGTGTATGGATAACCTGTGTACACTGACAAGTTCATGGATAACCTGTGTTCACTGACCAGTGCATGGATAACCTGTGTACACTGACCAGTGCATGGATAACCTGTGTACACTGACCAGTGCATTGATGACCAGTGCATGGATAATCTGTGTTCATTGACCAGACTTCATACTTTTTGATGGTTAATACCAGATTTCTGAAATATACATTTAACATCTTCAAACTTAAAATGGGATAAGTTTGATCTGAAATTATTACTAGGGAAAGGGTACATAAAGCAGAGTTTTGGTTGTATTAAATGAGATCATATAATGTGTGCACAGAGTTATTTTGTTAAGCTGTTCTTAAAACTGATTTCATTAGGTTTTATGAATACAAGTTCTGAAACTATCCACACTTTTTGGAATAGTAAAAGAGAAATTATTTCATATTCTATCCTTGAAACTACTCATATTTTATTTTGTAGGACTCATATTTTATCTTAAAGGATAATGAAACCTAATCTTAAGGCCAACACTAAATAAAGATCCTTCACAAATTATCATAAAGACCATTTCCAAGATTGGTTAACATAAAAAAAATCTTTGCATTTATTTGAAACAAAATATCATAAAAAATCTCTGCATTTATTTGAAACAAAGTAACATATAAATGGTTGAAATTAATGGCAGAACTGGTCTGCACTGGTTCTAGTATGATATTATGGGAGAGGCTATCATGATATTATTGTGTTTTTACAGCATGATAAAAGCGTGATTGGAAAGCAACTCCTAAATACTGTATAAATTCTGTTTATTTTACAAATAATGCTTTGTCATTTGAAAACTTGATAATAACAAATTATAAGGCGACAGACATGCTAATTGACTTCTATATAATGTTTATTTGGGAAGGTTACTTGATGTAGTATCAACTTAAAACAAACAACAGAGAGTAATAATTTCCCCTTGTGGCTGAAGCATTGCCTTTAAGGGTTAAGGCATCACACCCCATCAGAATTGCAGCCACCATTTAGTCGTTAGAGTGATAGTGAGAGGGGAGGAAATGGGTTGAAATTACTAAAGTCTTTGCATCTCTTAGCTGTAGGAAGTGAGTTGGTTTTTATCCCTGGTGTTGCTTTAAATTTGTAACACCTGAGGTTAGCCAAAATCATCTTTCCATTTTTGGTGCCATATGACCTAAATTGTGTTTGTGTGCTTTAAAACCAACAAGAAAAAAAAGGAAGAAAACTGTTTCTATTATTTACATTTATATGTTTTCTTGTATGAACACAGACTACCATTGACAGATGAGATATTGTTTGGTAATATTCGTCAAGATGACCTCTGTGTGGACATTGAGATAGGTCATGTACCTGCTATAGCCAAGCTTAGTGAGTGTAACAATGACAGGGGCACTCAGGTTTGTATTTAGTTAAAACTCATTCAACTATCTTTCTTTGATTTGCTCATATGACAGTGCTGTTGGTAGTTTTCACTCAGAATCACGACAGTAAGTCACATTGAATTTACAAGAGCACAGCCAGGCAGGCCGTTAAGTGCTTTACCAGTTCTAGTTGCCTTCACTTGCGCAAAGAACTGATAATGTCTGTACATGCCAGAGCAGAGGTAAAGTGGGGAAGACCATAGAAAGGATTTCATGATCAATCACAATGCAAGTGGCCTGCATTGTCTGGAAATTGAACACGGGTTGCCCGATTCACAATCCAAAACTCTACATATTAAGCTAACTGGACAGTTTTTTTGCACATTTTTCGCAAAAAATTTTACTACTTATGTCATTGTAAAGGCTATCTGAAAATATAAATCTTAATCTTTATTTCAGGACTGGTCTTTTAAGAAGAAAGGGGAGATAAGCAATGGTGGAATGTGTTTGACCGCTGACACTATTGGCACACATGGTTATGTGATGATACATTTTTGTACAAAAGAAGACTCACAGGTGATTAATAATGGCTGGCAGAATCTTGCATATTTAATTCTTCTTTGAAGAGAGACTCGCAAAATAAGCCCATTTTTTTTTTTGTAGACTAATAATTTTACGGAAGCATTGACCAGATTATTCATTTTATTTAGAAGCAAATTGCATATGAGTCATGAGATTCTTGAAATAATTTTTTAGCTGGACTTTTCAAAGAATAGGGAGAGCTAGTACTAATTTTGGCATGGCTGTTACACTTTGGTAAAGTTTTTTTGTGCAAGTTGGTATCACCAAAACTACTGATTGGAATGGTTTGAAACTAAACACACTTGTTCTCTGTGATTATCTAACAGGATTGACATGGATCAGAGTTGTGCACCTTTTCTTACCTTCAAGCACTGAGAATAGTCGAGCAGGCTGTCTTATGGACAGCTCTTGTTAGTCATTACATTTGATAACTTGTATCCATGATAATTTGTAAAAGCATACATTTTAATGAAATGCAAAAGAAGAAACAACAGTTTAATTCAGAGGAGAAAAAAACAACTTGTGACTTGTTTCTAGTAGTCTTTATACCAGTGAAGGGAAGTAACTCTGTGCCTGAGTTCTGGAAGAGCTGTTGAAACTGGATATTTACTGAAAATAAAAGTTTTATCAACATGTGTATGAAAGATACACCAGAAATGGGCAAGAAAGTGATTATTGGCCCCTGGCAGATAAATAAATATCCCATGGGCTGACACATCTGGGGCCATTATTTCATAGACAGATAATCACCTACTGCCCATACTCTGCTTTGTATTAACCTCTGTCATAATTAATACATGTACATGAATGTTCCTACTTATGTCTTAACCAATTAATTTCCTATATGTATATGTTGTTTTACAAAGCCATACATAATGCCTTCTAATGCATTATACAAATGTTATTGTTTTTACAGAAATGGAGATATTTAAATGGTCAGATTTATCGTGAGGGAACCAGTCAGTGTTTAGACAGTCACAAAGCTGATGTTGGCCTCGTTATCTCACAGTGTGAAGAATTATTTTCTAGTCAAAAATGGAAGGTAGCTTCAAAATCCATGCTGTCTCGAAACAAAGATGAAGTTTGAATGTAAAGATTACTAGCAAAAAGACCTGGGACCAAAGTGTCCTTAAAACACAACACTATAAAAGCCTTACACTCACTGGTACTTTGCAAAGTTCTTTGCAGTGTCACAAGTGCCTGTTATTCATAAAGATAAATTCAAACCCCTTATTAAATTATACGAATTGCAAATGTTTTTAACTTTTAGCCTGCTGGTCGCATCTTAAAGATCCTGTATGTTGTAATTAAGGTTGTTTCCACACTTAAGTGAAATTTTATATATGTATATAATTATGCTTCTGAAACAGTTTTCAAACATCGAAGAATACATACTGCAAATATTTGTTCACATTATACATTATGTAATCATTAAAATATATGCATTCATTTCTTATTGAAAAATTTGACTTCAAATTTATAGAAAATAAATTTCTTATTACCTCCCTTTATTAACATGAAATGTAAATTCAGTAATATCTTCACAAATAATGCTTTTAGAACTTACAATATTGATAAATCTTCATTTGAGCATTATATTTATGATATAAAACCATAAAAAATTGAGTTACAGGATCTTTAATAAACCCATACTATCAGAACAGACCAGGATCAGCTGTCAGATCTGTTCTGTACTTCTTGCTGTTCAATCTATACATATTTAAAAAGTTTCTTTTAAAGCAGCATGCCTCCAGATTAATGCTAATTTTCATGAAAATGTATTTAAAGTTAAATAATGTGACATGAAGTGATGTCCAATTTCTAAATAATGTATGGCAGTCTTTTTACATTTTAGGCAACTTTATAATTTATCCTTTTTTCCAATATCAACTGTTGGTCAAACACCATTATATCAGTTAATCTTTTAAACATGAAAATGACAAAATGAACATGATGTCACTTTAAAAGATTTTCATCATTGTACCTTTCTTGATGAATTTCTAAAATGGCTTTACTATAATATTTTGATTTATTGTACTTAAAAGTAATGTTCTTAATATTTTGAGAAGTAAAACAACACAAATACAAGTAAGGGTCATGGACATATTTATTTATTCAAAATAATGAAGAGACTTGGGGGGGGGGGCACTTGATCATTTTCTTTGTTGAATAATTTGCACAAAGTTGATATATTTTCATTAATTACTTTTGAGTTGAGATTAACTGATATGAAATGTATATCTGTTGATATTTGAACAAGTGTTTTGTGTAGAAGGACAAAATGGTGTTATAATTTGAAAACTAATCAGGTTGTGGTAAAACTGCAGTTTCTACCTTTGTCCATCCCATTAAACAGAAAAGCACTGCCAATGCAAAGAAACGAATTTCTTTTTACAAATATGTTCATTATAGCCTTCATTTTGTCCTATTCTGAAATAATTGCCTTGGCAGAACAAAAGGTAAAAAGGACAATAACCTAAGGTATTGTTATACATATTTTGTATTGTTTTCTGTTTTGTTTTTTCTTCAACTTTCATTCTGTTTTGTTCTGTTCATATTAGAACTGGCTATAGGTTGTGTTTTAGTAAATCTCTTAATTTGTGCCATATAACAGCTATAGTTTGTGCCAAAATTTTATGTGTGCAATATAACTATAATAGTCCTATTATTTTGATTTATTAGCATAATGTATTATTGTTTGCAATATTTAATCATGTAATAAAAATGATGAAATTTTGTGTTTAGTTATTTTAACCTTAATTTTTCTGTAACCAAAGGAAATTTTGTCATTATTTATGTGCATGTTGTTTATTTTTGGTGCATATTTCTAAGATGGGTTTTTGTATGAATGTAATATTAAGAAATTAACTGGGAGGTCAAATTTTATTTGACATTGCCACTTGAGAGACTGTGATCAGTAAATGATCAACAGCCAAAAGACATTCAGTTATCGATAATGGCTACCTTATGGTTTTTTTTTTAAAAGGTTAAAGGTTAAGTTTAAAATTTGGATTTTACCCAACAAGTTCAAGGTCTGAAAGTAATAATTGTAGGAGTTGACCTATCATGACAAGTTGGCCAGGTATCATATTTCGAGACCATTGTAACAATCAAACTTTCTGGAAGGCTTTTTACCACAAACGCTAAACTTCAAATAGTTTTTTCCTGTAATAATCTGAGACTGAAATGCTCCGGAATAATAATTAATATCAAAGGTCAGAATTGTTCATATTTTTCTTTTAAAAACGCGACGGTCCTAAACAGACGGCAATAAGGCTATGGCATTTCCTTTAACAGGACTCGATATTTTGATATTTCTGGACTGAAAATACTGTGGAACCTTTTGTTGATGGTCTATACTCAAAATTTAAGATAATTATTGCGCAAAATGATCAAAAAATGAAAGGGTTTGAACGCTTAATTTGGCTATGAATTGCACTAAATACCGATTTTGAATTAATTCTAGGTAGAATATCTTATTATCTTCTTCATATTATTCCGTTTTAAATACCTCATTTGACATAAGTAAGATTTCCAAATTGTGTGTTTTAGACTTCTGTAGCTCCTTGAAATATACAGTACCAAATGTGATGATTCCTGTTGGTCAGCAGTGTATATGAGAATGAAATGTCTGAAAGTTTATCGAATTAATGCATGTGATTTCCGTATGGACATGTGTTCTTACATGAAGTTGTACAAATAAGTTGTCCTTGGCCGATAGGAGCTTTTCACTGTTTGTGTTGTCTGGTGCTTTTTTCAGCTTCGTTTGCTGTGGAACTTCCACATACAGTTTTCGTGCTGTATTTCAAACACCAGTGTGAACTTGTTATATAAACAAGCTTATTTTTTTCGCGAATTAAATTAATCACTTGTTAGTCTATTCCTGTATAATTCCATATGAGGAAACATGATCGAGGCTGGCGCCGGCTAACTTTTAATAAAATGGTAGACGAACTCATGTCGAATAATCGTGTGTTTCTTCCGACTGGTAAACAACATTTTAACAGGTTTTGATCACCGATAGACAGTTGTATAATTAAAATTTCTGGAATCTGAACTGTCGTGGGGATTATTTCTTCCAAAAAGGAAGTATATCATCACACCTGTAACTATATTTAAAAAAAAAACTGTCCAGGAAACATGTACGTGAATCGTGGGGTTTGTAGATTTTATGCCAGCAAGGCGGCACTATTGTTATTTGGTCAATCACTTGAAAACCCTCTAGTTAGAGGACCCTTCCCTTTTTAATCCCATCTGCAAATGTTAATGACATTAATATCATATTTATATACATAACAAAATATTTGCTTTAAGCAGGTATAATAATTAGCTTGTAGACTTATCATTCAATTTGTCTCTGTCTCCTGAAAGCATAGTTCTGTCCTGAAGATGAACTTGTAAATATTTTGATACCATGTTGAAGAGGAAACCTTAAGATAGTACCTGGCCAACGAACGAATAACCTGTCACTTGTCTTTACATTTTTGACCTTTTGTCTAGTTTCTCCCTTGTTCAGACTGAACGAGTTCAGTGGACTGTTATTAACCTGTCTATATCACGTATTTAGATCCTTGACTCTCATTATTAATACAGCTTGTAAAATTAACTTCTGAAAAGTTAATGTGAAGTGCGCGTACTAGAAACGTGAAAATATATTTGTAATATGAATAACATGTAAGCTTATTAAAGAAAACGGTCCAGTAACTATTACAGATGCTTAGATAGTTGCAGAGACAATGCCTCACCTTTGAAGATAATTATAATTAATGTCGCCTGATTCTGGATTTGTCATGTCCTGTTTTGAAATTTGAATTATCTGTAGACTTCAATGTCAAAATAGTTTAGTTGGTTTGAACAAATTTATTTCAGCTCGATTGCGGAACAAGTTCTTGCACTTTTAGAGTTCGATGCCTGGAACCAACCAGTACTGGTGTTATTTGACGAAACACGGTCGACACCCGAGAAGGGCTTAAACCCATGATTTCTGGGTTAAGAGGCAGACACCTTAACCACTAAGCCACCGCACCCTTTGAAAAAGTTAAGTTGCCAAAGTACGTATGTATAGTCTTGTCAGACGGCATGAAAAGTGGGTTGACGTGAATCTCTTCTGACAACTTATAAACGTAGCTACTTTACTAAAGGTTACAATTCTGTTAATGTAAATTTGATTTATTATAAACTTAGACATAAAATATTGAAAAAAAACTGATGAAATAAACTACTTCTTTTTCATTTTTTGTATTTTCACTGTAAAAAAAAATATTGTTCACTAGTGAAACATATTTTCGTATTTTCACTGGCGTTTTGCCTGACTACTTTCTTCTAAATTCAACCAATACACACAATTTAAGGGGAAATCTTTCAAATTGTAATGTCAGAAAAAGGTATATAATAAACAGAAAGATAAATAAAAATAAATATAATTCCAACAATTTTGTGCATTATAAAACCAGTAAAAATTTATTCGCTATATTATTCTTATACTTTATTATCATTATTATTATTATTTTTATTATTATTATTATTTTTATTATTATTATTATAATTATCATTATTATATTATTATTAAAACGAGTTTTTGATTAAAGAAAACTCAGTGTCTATAAATGATAAGTACCAATACTGATTTATACAAGAACTTTTAGACTTTATATATTACAAATGTAGTATATTATATAATTATTGATATTAATTATTGCTTAATTATCAAAGAGACAAAATAATCTTTTTTGAATACATGTAATCATGTCGTGCGTCTGCCTGTCCGTCTCGACAACTATAATGAGCTTTTAGTGTTTAATGATATTAATATTTACAGTTTCAATATCAGCGGAAATAAGTGTTAAGTGATACAAAATGTTGTGAAATAACGATTTTAACCTGTTATACTGGGCATGAATTAGAGCAATTCATTATTACAAAACCATCATTGGAATTGTTTCATTATTAATAATTTGTGCATGATTAAATTACAAATGTAGATAAATTTTGAAGTTAATTTTTCATAATTTGTATTGCAAATACACATTTTGTCTATTGGACAACATTTTAGTTTTGATCGTAGATCAGCCTCGTTTGAAATGTAGTATCCATGTAAACATCGATTCATTTTTTCCTCTTTTATTTTTTTCAGTATTTTTTTTCTCTCACAACCCCACTTGTAGCCTCTTGCCATTAATGTAACTTCTCATAATGTCGCCTAATGATAAGCTTGCCTTTGGTCCACACCATACAATAACAGTGTATGTAAAAGAGTACAAAACTGTACATAGCCCTTTCTTGCAATAAAGTGTCCTGCTCATTGTTCAGGGGAATTTGCTCTAGCGTACAATGAACTCTGAAGGCAGGGTCACACTAAAAAGAGGTCATTGGCAGGTCACAAGTCGCTGTACTCCGCTATACGATCTACATAGTCAATATAATCATATATATATAAATAAACTGTTTTTTTTTTGCCCTACACAACCGTTTGTCTTTATTGTAACCGGTAATTGAACGTCAATGATTATACATGTAGCTTGTTGTTTGGGTTCTAGCTTTAGACCAATACTGACTGACTATATGTGGTTGCATATTTGGTATGTCATCAAAATTTTTGAAAACATTCATAGAAATTCCTTGAATTAAGAAAATATTATTTGTTTGGTAAGATAAGTTGAACTTAAGTTGGAAGTCACAGCGGCCAGTGCTATAATTGGTACTAAAGAACTGTCGGTGTTGATGTTTTCTTAATTTGTGCTAACATATCTTGAGTCAATGAGATCTGAGTTTCCTTCTCGCTGACAAACGAACTATAGCTTGATTTTTTTAACGTTAAGGTCACGAGAAAGGAGGTCATCTTGTGGTCAGAGGTCATTGACAGTCTATTCATTGAGCCTGAACCCAAACAACAAACAATAGTATCGCTGCTGTAGTACTGAAGGCATTGATATCATGCTATTTTTAACCTTTCAATCAGCAAATATGTTTGTAGATATCTCAGTGGAGTAAACGACATTTGCACGTAGTTGGAAGCAATCAGAACATCTCGCCTATTTGACGGAAAGGGCCGAGTGAATGGGAAACTAATTATCAGAAAACCTCACTTGTACTTTCGATTATACCAGTACAGAAATAAATCAATCAATAAACATATATCACTGATGTTAACAGTTGCTTATAATACCTGCGATCCTTTTCTATTATTGTATAATATGTAATTATACTTAATTTGTAAAAAAATGGATGTTTCATACCTTTTAAAATATTTCATTTAATCTATTCTATATTGGTTTATTTTACACATTAAAATGTTCTTTAATATGCATGTATGCTTTAGTGAAACTTTCGTCTTAACACTACACCTGATCCGATATTTGATCCCGGCGTTAATTCCTAGTTCTAATTTTTTCTCCTTAATATAATTCGAAAATATATATGTAAGTAACAACACATAATTAAATATTTCCAAGTTTATTTTGGCCTGATTTCTTAAAGATGCCGCGATTAGGAAAGAATATGTAATAAAGGATCATATGACCACGAGGTCAAATAGTTAAAAACCATTGCCAACTTTGTGAATTTATTTTAGTTCGATTGTATATACAGACACACTCTCGAATCCGTTCCTGGAGCAATGAATGTAAAGTTTCTTACCAAAGGAACAACGGTATCTCAGGACAAAAGCACCTAATGCGACATTAGAAAGGCAACAGGCT